AATAAATAAATAGATATGAAATAAACAAACAAACAATTAACTAATTAAATAATTAAATAATTAAATTTTTAAACAAAAAAGAAAAATATATACACAAATTTTTAATTTGTCTGTCACCGGCGCCTGCGGCGGTATCCTCAGGCGCCTGTGAGCGCTCCATACAAAAAATAAAGAGAAATGCGCTATTATTGATGTAAAATGGAGGGAAAACAGCAATAAATAATTGAAATATAATATTAAATAATAAAATTAAATCAAAAAAAGAAAAAGTAGACATAAAATAGACACAAATGTTTGTCCTCCCTGCCGTCATTCAACAGTATTGCAGAAACCGCCGAAGCCATCGAAGCCTTTCCGTTCAATTGGGGTGTATGTGTGCATGAATATCGTGAAAATATGCACAAATATATTTAAAAGAATTAAAATAAAAAGAAAAAATTTAAAAAAAGAGAAAAATTCATACAATAAACTGCATGCGGGCCGTTACACGGTGTGCAGCTGCAGGGCTGCGAGGTGAGGGGCCCCCCAGAGGGAGCTGCATCTTCTGTATGAATTGGTAAATAATTTGCAGAGAAAATTGAATAAATAAATTAATTAATTTATATTTAACTCATTTAATTCAATAAAACAGACACAGGAGCTGCAGCAGCAAAGAGCTTCTTCTTCTTTCCTTCTCGCAATGGTATGCAGAAACTTCTTTTTAAAGAAAATACTCTTCTTCTATTTGAATTAATTTGCAGTTTATTCAAAGTCTTTTTAGGTGTATTATACCTTTTAAATCATTATCTTATCTCCGCCTCTGCCTCTCTTTATCTTCTTATTGTTATTCCTATCACCAACTCCTTCTCTTTCTTCGTCTGCTGCTGAAGCACTCTTCATTACCAGCAGCAGCGCATTCCTTCTGCTGCTGCTGCTGCTGCTTCTGCTATTGCTGCTGCTGCTGTATGCATGCATGCATGCAAGATGCGAAGCCTCCCTCTTCAATCGTTTCGTCTTCTGGCTGCTCTGCCTATAGACTCCGATAAAATTCCTTATACTTTTGATTTAGATGATGTAGTAGAGCGCAGGGGCCCCCATGGGGGCCCCCATAGACCAGGGGCCCCCTCAACATCTTCTTCACCTCTAAGGGGTCTCGTTATTAGAACGCCAAGAGGCATTCAAGATTTCACAGAAGATCAAGACCCTGGTATGAAAGTATTTGTTTGTTTGTTTGTTTGTTTATTTATTTGTTTGTTTGTTTGTTTGTTTTGTTCGGGGGTTTTCGTGTTTGGCTGCAGTTGCTGTTGCTGCTGCTGCTACTACTACTACTACTGCTACTGCTGCTGCTGCTTTTTCTGCTGCTTTGCTGTTTTCGCTGATGCTGCTTTTGTTTTTGCTGCTGCTGCATTTTCTGCTGGTGCATTTGCTGCTGTTGCATTTGCTGCTGCTGCACTTGCTGCTGCTGCATTTGCTGCTGCAGAAAATATGGATCCGGGTTCAGACGAAGTGCAGGTGGCGTGGGAAGACGGCACCGTCGCAAATGCGCGCTGCAGCAGTTTAAATTTAGGTGGGGTTGTTGTTAACACCATCAATAAAGATTGCATCCTTTTTATTTATTTATTTCTTTTGTTTTTTTTATTTATTTTTTTCTATCTTCTCCATTTGCCTCACTGCCTTTTGAAATCCGAATGAGGCAAGAGGGTTTAGGGGGTATTCAGTCTTTTATTGCTCAGGTTTTACTGTTTAAGGCTTAAGGTTTACAAATTAGGGTTTAGGGTTTAGGGTTTAGGGTTTAGGGTTTGTGTATGTACAGTTGACCGTTGCTTCTACCTTGGCGACGCGGTGTTGCATGGGGAGCGGGGATCGCTTGGGATCGTCTTGGAGGTGGTTCAGTGTGTAGACATTGCGATACCTGTAGAAATACTTCAAAGGGGCTTAGCAGAACAACAAACCCCACAGCAGCAGCAACAGCAGCAGCAGCAGCAGCAGCAGCAGCAGCAGCAGCAGGGAGGGAGTGGGGGTTTGGGTGCAGCAAATGCATTTCCTTCTCGTTTACAGGGTATTTACGCTCGCGCTCTGGGGCCCCCTTTCTTATCTCTTTGCCCTCCGCTGCTGCAGCAGCTGCAGCAATTTAATCAGGGGCTGCCGGTATTAAAAGAAGGACGTCTTGGCTGCGTCATTGATGGGAAAGCAGATTATCTTATTCACCTCGATTCAAACCACGAATTCGTTCTTGAAGATGGGTCAGCAACGGTTTAGGGTTTAGGGTTTAGGGTTTAGGGTTTAGGGTTTTTAAGGGTTTTTTGTTTAATTTGCTTTATTGATTCACTTTATTAAACTTATTTTTGTCTATTATTGACTTGTTTTGATGCTCTTTTTCTTTACTTCTCCCTTCCCTCCCAACAATAATATATTTATTTATTTATTTATTTATTTATTTTGTTTATTTATTTATTTAATTTATTATTTATTTATTATTTATTTCGCAGGATGTCTTGTGTACGCCCTGAGCCTCGAAGGGGGCACCCAATGAGTTGGGTCAGCGGTTTGTATCCGTCCCTCCCTATTTATTTAACAGGAGAGTATCTGTCTCACCTGCAGCAGCAGCTGCAGCAGCAGCAGCAGCAACAGCAGCAGCAGCACGGGGGGGCAGCACCAATGCAGCAAACGCCGCATGCAGGAGGACTCAGCAGAGGTCTGCGGATTTATATACTCAAGTTTTTTGTGTTGTTTTGCTGCATATACACCCCATGCAGTATAATCAATTTGTATATGTTATATTTCTATATCTGTATGTTTTACTTGATATCTTTATCTACTTCTGTATATGTCTATTTATATATATATAATATATATTTATATATCTATCTACACCTATAGATTTATATCTCTGTCTCTATCCATACCTATATCGATATATATATATATATATATACATGCATATATAACTATGTTTTATGTGCATATATATGCA